AAATAATATTCAAACAAAATTTGGGGTTTCCCTCTCAGCCTTGACGTAGTTTACTAAATACAAATATGTACTATATGTAAGTATTAATTATAATACAATAATTTATTACCTCCCTCTTTATTTAGGACTTGGTGTAAGTCTTACTAATATATTTACTTAAACGTGAAAGTTTGTTACTCAGTCACGCTTAAATTGTTGAATAGATATCAATAAAATTTGTACGCAACGGTAGAACCTAGATAGTTAATTATGTTTTAATGTAATAACTACTGGTTTAACTTACGTGTAATTAGATCGAAAAGCTCGATCATTTTCGAAATCAATTCGTGATCCTTAGTCATGAGCGTCTGTGATAGTTAGGCTCGCGTTCGCATTTTACTTGTATGTGTAAGTACTTAATTATAGGACATAAGTACAATTTTATCAGTTTTGTAAAAATATACAATTTATGTCGCTATGTACTAAGTGTCGTTAACGTAGTATAAAAGCAGGTGGCGCGTACCTCTTGTTCCTTAAGAAAACAGATTGATCTTGATCTTTAATCTAGAAAAAATTACTAGTAATGATTAAAAACACGAGATTTTGATAAAAAAGGAATTATCCAAATACTATCATGACTTGAACTGTTAACAAAACTACTGTCGAATTGGATACTTGTATTTTTTGTTTTTTTTTACAACACAGGGGGCAAACGAGCATGCGGCTCACCTGATGGTAAATGACAACCGCCGCCCATGATCATCCACAACACCAGCAACATTGCAGGTGTGCTGCCGGCCTTTTAAAAAGGAATATACTCTTTTCTTGAAGGTTATGTTGTAGTATCGGTTCGGAAATACTGCTGCTGGAAGTTGATTCCAAACAATGGTTGTGCGTGGAAGAAAGTGCCTTGAAACACGCACGGTGGAAGACCGTCACTCGTCCAGATGATTGGGATGAAACTTTAGTTAGTTAGTTGAAATTAGTCTTAAATTATTTAATGTTAATGATATTTCCTATTACGCACGTTTTTCATCCTATCAGCGGAGAAGATTAGCTTACCACTTGTGCTATCACTGGCCAGGCGTTTTGGTATATTTTTTTTATGCAACTTAGAATGGCAAACAAGTTGACGGCCCATCTGATGGAAAGTGGTAACCGTCGACTACAGACATGAGCAGTACCATGGACATAACAGAATAGACTGTTTCGCCTATGACACCCCCCATGCTTTACCATTCCTGAAGACTCAGGTGTTCACTGCCATATCCCACCCTTCAAACTGAAACACAGCCATGCAGACACAACTGCTTCACGGTAGAAACACGAATGGGACAGAGGTGCCCAAGCAAACGACTTTTGTACAAAGTCTCCCTTTGATATATGATTTCATTTCGTGTTTTCCTTCTCTTCTGCCAGTATAGTGTACATTGTTCCTTTAGTTGTTTCCTACAGAATCTTAGAGATTGTAAATAATAATATTGTTTTACTTCATTACCATGCATCCTCCTAAAATATTTATTCTTTAATTATTATTGTTATTCAATTTTTTCTTTTTTTTTCTGTTTTAGTGTACATTATTGCTTTGCCTTTGCTTAGTAATGTATATCCAGTTATGATTGACTGTTATTTAAACATTTAAATATCATATAACTATGTGTGTATACGTGTTTTCATGTGTACTTATTGTATTTGTCTCTACTAAGCCTAACAACTTTTGAGTTCTCCATTGTATGTATTACCATAAACTGTTACATGCCAGGGAGGGGTAATGGTGACTTGTGATACGGGTTCTTCGGATACCCAGTTCAGGCACCAGTTCTCTATAATTTTGATGTATCTGTGGTATTATTTTAAGTGTTTCTTTGTACTCAAAGAAGTTGTGAGATAAATAAATAAACATTATTATTATTATTAAACATTATTATTAGTTATTATATTAGTCATTAGTATACAGATAAACAACATTCTATGGAGAATTGTGAAAGAATGAATTATTAAAATTATCCACCAATTTCAAATAGCGTAGTCAATACTACCGAGATGTAACAGTCGGTGTGATTTTAACAAAATATTATCTTGCGAGTTCCTATTGCTGTTATATTAGAAAATTAAACAGTACCTATTGAGGAGCTAACGCTTTGAATATTCAAAGGGAATAAATTATGAGATGTAGGCCGTTGAAGGGTAACTAATCGCGCGATATTATGTGTAGGTACCTACTGACGTTTGCGTTTGTATTATAGGTATATGTACCTATAAGTGTAAAAATATAACCACAATAACAAGTACATTTTGCTTCGTAAAAAAAGTTATTTCAATCGTGAAAACATACACACGCTACATACATACCTACCCACAACTGCTCGCAATCAGGCACATGCACACACACACACACACACACACATAGTGGATTTAAGTTACAGAATGGACGTTTTAATTTTTTAGTTTAGTTAATTATTAGTATTAATTATTATAAATAACATGATATATAAAAAAATTTTATTACCAGTAGTGTGTTGGAGTTTAATCATCAATTCACCAGAGGGAGACTGTACAAAAGTCGATTGCTTGGGTACCTCTGTCCTATTCGTGTTTCTACCGTGAAGCAGTTGTGTTTGCATGGCTGTGTTTCGGTTTGAAGGGTGGGATATGGCGTAAGTTTACTGGGTACAAAGGAATAACATCTGAGTTCTCAGGAATGGCAATAAAATGCATGGGGCAAAATGCATGGGGTAGTACATACACACGCACATATACATCCATTAATGACAAAATATTTTGTACCGTCCATTAAAATATTTTGTCTATTTCTGTTTGAAAAACAATAGTTTTGTTTACCACAAAAAAATATGAAATCAAGATGGAAGTAAAGCCTATCGATTACAAAAATAATTGTGAAAATAAGTTCAGAATTGAACTGAACTTAAACTTCAGACGAGTTATGAACCTATATTTGGAGATCACTTGAAAATATTGTAACTTCGTTCCTATGGTACCCGTTATTATCAGATCTTGAGGGAATTTTAAATGTGTCGTAGTGGATATCTATATTAAACTATGGTAAGGAATCTCTGTACAAAAATTTTACGTTCACAAGATGTTTATCCCCAACTTTGGAACAATTTTAACCCTAAAGAAGTTGAATTTCACCGTTCAACCATATAATATGACTATTAATAAAGATGTGTGCGCAAAGAGTCTCGTTTGAAATATTTGAAGCCACCTGTCATATACAAATTTTTTACATGTATTAAACATGATTTTTGCTTATTTATCACACATCACGACAACCATTTTCACTAGAATATTATGTCGTAATACTTGCCTAAAAGATATGTTGTAATGTATTTTTCAGGAGTGGTAACGGATGATTAAACTACAGTTACTTTATTTTTATTAGCATATTATTTTTAAGTTTTAATTTTTTTACTTTTATTATATATAAAAAAATAGAGAGAGAGAGAGAGAGAGAGAGAGAGAGAGAGAGAGAGAGAGAGATATTTTCTATTACTGTACAAAGGTGAAAGTATTCTCAACGGAATAAATACTGAATCAAATGAAGTTACTGAGGTAGTCTTCAATCCTTTAGATTTCTCTTTGTCTCTCCATTAGATAGTGTACTAATAATTTTTTTTTACTAATAAGTTATACATTAGACACGAAAGAGAAGAGAAATTTACTTTATTGTTAAAAGTTTCATAAGTGCACATTTTATTTTAATATAATAATAATAAGGGTCTTGAATGGTTCCGACACTAGTCGAGTTTTCTCGACCAAATAAACGTAACCAACCAAAGACACGTAAGTTAAACCGGTAGTTATTACATTAAAATAAAAATATACTTGCTTGCAACAAATAGAATTTGTACAAAGTCTACCAGAGGGAGACATTGTACAAAAGTCGATTGCTTGGGTACCTCTGTCCCATTCGTGTTTCAACCGTAAAGCAGTTGTGTTTGCGTGGCTGTGTTTTGGTTTGAAGGGTGGGATATGGCGTGAATTTACTGGGTACAGAGGAATAATATCTGAGTACTCAGGAATGGCAACGCATGGGGGGTATAATGGGCGACAAAGTATACTCTGTTATATCCATGATATAAGCTCATGTCTATAAGCGACGGTTACAACTTTCCATCAGGTGGACCGTCAGCTTGTTTGCCATTCCAAGTTGTATAAAAAAAAAATAGAGCTGACGGCCGAATCTGTCTCGGATATACGCAGGAAACGCTGGGTACATTGAAATCTAATATGCAATCACCAAACAATGGTATTGCCAGATTATAATAAAATATATAGTACTCACTAAATATTTACTCAAAAACTCAACTAGATATACCTCGTACGGTATAAAAATATAAAATAATTGAACTTGTAATAAAAAAAGATAGAAAAATTAAATTTGGAACTTCTTTTTTTATTTGAAGCTTTGATAATTTGATTTGTTTTAAGACCTGTCCTGATTTAACATACTCATATCATTACAAGGTCACTGAAATATTTTACATATACAATCACAACGTGGCGTGGTGGCATGTGGACACGTCACGGTCAAGTTCATCCGTTGATGGTCGGATTATGTTCTTACACTAATCTGCCTATAATCTCCACGGAGCCTCCCACTGTTTGCAGATGGCGTATGAACACAGCAACCGGCTATTTATCGATGTACTTAATGCACTCAACTTTGGAGTGAAAAAAAGTCTCGGTCTGAGGAGCTCATTACATTTTATATCGTAATTAAATATTAGATTTAAAAATTTAAGACTTTCGGTTGAACTAAAAACAATAACAATGATTTTGATTTCATCCTGTAGGTACTAGTTCAATAGTTTTTTTTTAATTGTGGTAGACAGATTGCAAGTTTGTATAGGGGATTATTAGGAGAAGAATAAAAATACATATTTGGGCGAAAGGACTGTATGCTGGTATGGAAACACGGTGTTTTAGAAAGATAATATAATAATATAAAAAATATACATATCAAACCAACGGAGTAAAAAAGCGAAGTTTGACACAGACTTCAAATTATAAAAAGAACATCTTTTTAATAAACTTAAAAAAGAAACTAAAAAGGTGCGTCGTGCACATCGTCTAGGACTAAAAAAAAAAAGATTACTTATTTACAGAAATTATTAGTCGAAAACTAAACAAAAGTAATTATTCAGTTCTAACTATCGACACTAACTTTTTAAAGGACGCCTTAACGTTCCTGATACCATTTGAACATCAGCCACACGAACAAAATTGTCTCTTCCAAGAAACAGAGCAACCACGTGACCTCGCGGCCATGTACCTCGGGGTAAATCTCCATCAGCTATAAGAACAACATCTTTGATAGAAATACTTGGTGCTGAAGAGCTGGAACTTGAACGACGGGGCAGTAAACCGGGGAGATATTCTCTTACCCACCGGCTCCAAAACATGTCACTTAGTCATACAGCAATTCTCCAGTTATTGCGTGAATTAGATCTCGATTGCAGCGTCGCTGGTAAGGAGCTGCCAGCTGTGAGCAATTGATCGCACAGCATTACGTAATCCAAGAATCCAGTATTTTTGTCGAAGTTCGTTAATAATGGTTTCCGTATTTCCATGAGGAGTTCAAACGTGATAATAATGAATTAAAAGGAGAATACTTGGATGTTTCCATCTAAAACAATAGAAAACTTATCTTCTTCATTGACATCTAAAACCGCTGTAATACGACCAGAGATGTATAAGTTTGTCAGGACCAATTTGTGGTGACAGCTTGCGGAGACGACTCTGAGGTTAAGTGGCCGATTATTAGCAATGTATGCAATCTCTTCTTGAAAATCGTCTTCTTGGCTACGACGTAGTATGTGACTCAGCGAGATTTAAAGCTTCCGCCGTTAGAATATTTGAAATATTAGACTGTCTACACGAAGTTAAGTGCCGTTACATTAATAGAATTATCTAAAAAAGAACAAATACAATAATTTAATTTAATTAATTTAGAAATATCAACTTCTCGTTTTCGTAAACTACGCAATCGCAATATAAAAATGAATTTATGCGCAGTTGCTGTTGAACGTACTAATCTAATCCATGAACATATAAAGATGAATGAATCTAATCCATTAACGTAATAGATCAGCTGAGAGTGACAACTGCGAACTGGATGAAGTGATCTGATTGACTTGATGCAAATGAGGTTAAGTTAATTATGAGCTTCGATGATTATTAGAATGAATAAAGCGCCAGTAAGCTACTACTAAATAAGCTACTTTACTGACATCATAAAAAAAAAAACATGGAGTTCGCGCTCTAAAAGAACGCGACCTCTGACGAGTATTAGTGTTAATAAAACTAGTGGACCCGTATAATATAAGTAAGAACCTGTGGTTTGGTGAGTTTAGTAGGCATTACAAAATCTTTTTGAAGACCGGTATTAACAGCGATTAAATCAGTGCCTGGGTACCATAATAAACCAAGTGTGCGTACGGGTGTACTAACATCACCTTTATCTACTTGAAGTGTATCTAATGACTGACTATGACACAAACTCTTAGGTATTAGTGATAGCGCCCTTGGTTCATTAGATATCCAGTTACGCATCTCAAATCCTGCTTTCTGATGTATATCAACAATATCTGCTACCAAACGAGCAGCTCTTTCCACAGACTCTACACTACTTATGCAAACGTCCATGTGTCCGTGATCAAATGTCCATGATCATGAACGATTACATGGGCCTTTTCATGTTGAATATCATCAGCATTCTTATTTTAATGAACAAAGCTGTAGACGGGCTTGATGCAGCGCCAAAAATCATTAAAGAAATACGAAATAATTTCAAAGGTTCATTAGGACTATCGCGCCTTGGAAAACGCTGTGCATCTCGGTCTGCGTTACGAATTTTAACCTGAGGAAACATTTCTTTAATGTCACCATTAATCGCGACACTCTCCTCACGAAAACGCATTAATATATTAAGCAGAGATTGCACGAGCAGCTCTTTCCACAGACTCTACACTACTTATGCAATCGTCCATGTAATGGTCATGAACGATTACATGGACCTTTTCAGGAAACTGCTGTTGAATATCATCAGCATTCTTATTTTAATAAACAAAGCTGTGTGGACGGGCTTGATGCAGCGCCAAAAATCATTAAAGACATACGAAATAATTTCAAAGGTTCATTAGGACTATCGCGCCTTGGAAAACGTTGTGCATCTCGGTCTGCGTTACAAATTTTAACCTGAGGAAACATTTCTTTAATGTCACCATTAATCGCGACACTCTCCTCACGAAAACGCATTAATATATTAAGCAGAGATTGCAAAAGATCTGGTCCGGTTAAAAGTAAATCGTATAAACTAACTCCTTGTGATTTAGCGGCTGCATCATTAATTATTAGCTTTCCACAAAAAGGCCAACCTCGAATCAACCCTCACGCTTTTCATGTCTCATAATATCTATACAGTCGAGACGATATTGCATTTTAAATATATTTTCTATAGACGCATCACTACCTGCGTTGCAATCACACACATTATTTACGAAATGAACAACATTCGTTTTACTTGACACAAAACCGAAAAGAACCCAACCCAAAGCTGTTAAAATAGCAACTGGTTGAGACCTAGTTCCCTGTCTAGTCGCAATAGGTACAGATAGATGCCAATTATCAATACCAATTATAATGGTAGGTTTTGCATCATAACATAACTCGTCAGCTATATCTGATAAGTACGAAAAAGTATTAATCTCATTTTTATTAACATAACGATCTGCTAAACCTAAATTACTAATAGATCTAGCTTGTTTGACATCAAAAGTTTTTATTGATTTCCGCCCTTTAATTTGAAAATCAACGTATTGAACTTCCGATTCCTTTGATAAACCACCCACACACTGTAAGTCTATTTGTCCCATTTGACCCGTTACTCCTATCTGAGAAGATATTTCAGCATCAATAAAGGTAGCCGTAGACCCGTCATCAAGTAATGCGAAAGTATCAACAGAACCAGATGGACCCGATACTGTGACGGCGACGACCTTTAATAATGGTTTACGAGAAACAGTGGTACTACCTGAAGACGTCTGAGTCACCAATTCTGAACGCGGCTGGTCCGCATTATTGTCTACAGCATGCGAACTTGACTCTCCGGACTCCTGTGTGCTAGCTATGGAATGTGTAAAATTAGAATTATGAAGTATTTTATGATGTTTACGAGAGCAACCGACTATAGTACAAACACCTTTGATACGACAGGTATTATAATTATGTAATCCTCTTTTTAAACATTTGTGGCATAATTTATTTTTCTTAACAAAATGCCATTTGTCATCAATTGTCAGTGCCAAAAATTTATTACAATTGATTAATGAATGAAATGCTCGACAATATAAACAAGACTGTTTTGATGAAATTTTTGATGAGTTTTCAGTCGTTGTAAGAAGAGATGTTTCGACACAGAAATCGGTCTCGGAAGCTTGCGTGTCGTGTTCCAAACTATCACACACCTCTGTGGCATTTACTCGTTCTAATTTCTTATGCCTGTCGAAATTAAAAGTCATATTAAAATTGAAAATATCAACAATACCGAATTTAGCTTGTACCTCTACCTCTCGATTTAAAAATTCTGCAAGCATCTCTAGTTTGCTTTGACCACTATATTCATGGGTAACAGCAAAGTCATACCACCTACTTTTTAACACAATAGGTAATTTTGAGAGCACTGCATTGAACAATTCTGGTGATTTTAAATAGTCATTACCATCTAATAGGCGTAATGTCTCAGTGCAATTACGAACTTTACTGGCAAATACTAAAGTCCCTATCGTTAGTCAATCTCGACAAAGACCTTACCGAATGAAGTTCTTGTAAAATAATTAACTCTGGTCGTCCAAATCGAACCTCAAGTGCACTCATTACAACTTCTGGGCCAAGGGCGGTAACCAAGAGCTTATCAACGGTTTCTTTTGCCATACCTCGCAATGCGTGGCCTATGCGAGCCAAGTTTTCTATAGGAGAATAAAATGATTGTGTGTCCTGGAAGACACGTTTAAATGAAAGTTTCCGTCAAAATAGGGAAGCTTCGTATTAATCCCTTTCGGAGGAGCAACAATTTTATCTGTTAATTTACCTACTGCAGACACCAACGCAGAGATTGGTTCGATTAAATTAACAGCAGGGGGGTGTGTATTTACCTGTGGATTATTAGAAAATTTTAAAGGTGTAGAATAATCGTGACCATCTAACCATTTATCCACATCTTCATTGCAGCTACGACCAATACTAGCATGATCACTAGATCGGCTGCCCCGACAGCTGGCTGCTTCAATTTCTGCAATTTCTGCATTATATTTCTTTCTCGCCACCTCCAACTCAACGCGGCGACGTGCTTCGGCTGCCTCCAACTCGATCTTGGCGAGCCGTTGTGCGAGTAGCGCTTCCGCTGCAAGCTTCTTAGCACGAACCGTAGCTGATGAGCGGCTGCAGGTCGATGTGCTGTGAGCACTAACTGCGATCGGTGGTACGGTGGACACCGACGCCGAGGCGGTGGCATCAGGGTGCGTTTCCTCTCCCGACGGTGGTAGGGGCAACGCTATTGCCGTACGAGTATTTGCCGAACTCAGTTTACGACCCGACCGTGTTTCCATTTTTTTTGAAAATTTCGAATATTGATTCACTGAATATAATAAAATAAGGGAGAAGGACCAAAAATGTGGGCGAAAGGACTGTATGCTGGTATGGAAACACGGTGTTTTAGAAAGATAATATAATAATATAAAAAATATACATATCAAACCAACGGAGTAAAAAAGCGAAGGCGAAAACAAAACCGAAACTGACACAGACTTCAAATTATAAAAAGAACATCTTTTTAATAAACTTAAAAAAGAAACTAAAAAGGTGCGTCGTGCACAATATTTATTATGTTATGTCGTTATTATTTATATCCATTGGCAATAAATTAATAAGTTACAGTAAAATTATTATTATTATATTTCTAGAGCAAGAGCGGCCGACTCGAATAGACCCAAGATCTACTTTTTACTGACGAAACCCTGTGCGATCTACCAATTACATGTTTCTTGAAATCTTAAATGAAGCAAGTTAGATCACAATTATTAAGAAGCAAAACATAAAACTGAAAATTATTCTTAGTAACTACTTATTTATATTAGTGTGAGCATAGCGTCTGAGCATCTTTCGCTAGATTAGTAAAATATATTTTTACTTTGTCACGATTGACTACACTAATAGTCGAGATCGATTCGGCCACCCCTGATCTAGAGCCTTAATTTATGTATAATATTTCGCTCATTAAAAAAACTTACAAAATTGCATGCTCATATTATATTGACACAAATAAGCATATAAGCCTGCTGGTCTAATGATAAACGGTTATGGTAATCTATGCTTGGAATACTAAAAACACTAATAATATAAACAATAATATATACGATGTCTATATACATATACTGGTATAACGGGAAATTAACGAATTTAAAAATAATCATAAATAAAAAAAATTATAATAGTACGGTTTCAAAAGAATATCCTCACGCAACATTCAGGTTGCAAAAGAAAATTCCTAAACGTTATAAATATGGAATGTAGTTGTATACACTGTGTTCATTTACGAAACCAAATCCTTAAAACTAGTGTTAGTATTCATTAATAGAATTAAAATATAGGTATGTTACATATCTTGTACCGTGTAATGCTGTTGGTACTGATACAGGTTGCTCTTTCTTGATTAGTTTTTGAAATATCACTTTTTGCTAGGAAAAGAAAAAAAAACTGAGTCTATAGTAATGAATATTAGCACTAGTTTTAAGGATTGGATTTCGTAAATTGACATACTGTATAATTCTATGTATCTACATTCCATACTGTAATCTCGTCAGGAATTTTCTTCTAGAACCTGGATGTTGCGTAATAAAATTCTTCTAAAACTGTATTCTTAAATTACATATTACATGACCATACAGATTTTAAAATAATTCTCCTAATTGTAAAAGGATGATGCCGTTTGATCTGATGGCAAGAGTGTCCTTGTTCTACGTTCTTTGTTCATAAAGGTTTTGACGATGATGGCTTTATTTTAAAAACGTTATAGGAACTTAATGTCACACGATTACAGATAAAAAACCTATGTAACTAAAAAAATAACATTAATAGGTAATATATATTTTTATTTTATAAAAAATAATAATAAATTTTAATTTTGAGATAATGTTTCATACACAAAAAACAGACTTCAATTGTGGCAAAACCAATTAATTATATTGATTGAAACTACTAAATTGATTTTGACAAAATTTCTATGAAACTAATCTAAAAGTTCGAAAAAAAAAAAAGGATTTTCCAAATCGATTTGTAACTGACAAAGTTATAAAATAACAAACTTAAAAAAAAAACGATCGAATTGAGAACCTTGTCCTTTTTTAAAATTAGTTAAAAATTGTTGAGACATTTGTGACAATCGATTAATAAATGAGCCAAGTTATTGTGGCTGGTTAACAAAAAGCCACGATTATATTATATTGTCTCAGACGCTTGATAAGTTATTAAAACGTTGGGAATGTAGCATATGTTTGGATCACATTTGGTGCGTTCGAAGTCATTGACTTCTATTTTTTATATATAAAAAAGTATTCAAATAGGATCTATTTTGGTTATGCTATCTTTTTATTAAGTAAAATTAAAAATCGATTGTTTTCTTTTTTTTTTAATATATATTTTTTTTAATGAATACGTATACTTTATTTACGTTATACAATATAGGAAATAAGCAAGACGATTAATAAATATAAAGATAAAATTGTATAAGTACAGTAAAGCGGTCTCATTGCTGAAAGCAATCTTTTCAAGACAACCTTAGAGTAATAGACTAATTGTTGTACAAGTAGATATAATAATACTGTGTAATATTTTGGTAAAGGAAATTAAATTTAAGTTATCACTTGATACATTTACCATTTTTTGCCTATTTAAATATGTATCCTATTCATTCAAAGCCGGTTTAGTGTTTATATTCATCTCGATGGGTTTGTCCCTCAAATAGTAGAATATTCTACGAGTATACCTAGTATATGTTGTAAATTTATTTCCGTAGTTTTACACATCATTATTAAAAATTAAGTAAAATTTTGTATAATCCATTCGGGTTAGGTTCCACTAAAGGAATAAAGGATAAAAAAATTTTAGTACCGTTAAGATTTTGAACAAGAATTATAGAGTAGGTACCTACAAACAAGAACAGACGCTAGATATCGGAAAACATGAATAGTCTTTGATAGCTCTTGTATAAAATAGTCACAATTTTTCAACGTTGCCTGTCTCGAACTCCAATCCCCTAAAATCTGTCATGCTTCATTCACCATATAGTAGTATGATGATTCTATTTCATAGGTAATTAAGTTTAAGATATTAATCATCATCATTATCATATCAGCCTTCCATTGCTGAACATAAGCCTCTCTCTTGGGGGGTTTTGCCAGTTGTTGCCACGTTCGGCAGGCGGATTGACAATCGAAACCAAAAAACCCCTAATACTCGTAGGTGGAGGCCTAGGCTCGTAGTGGCCTATAGTGTACAGCAGTGGACAGTAATGGCTGATATCACCATTATCAAATGGTAAACCGTACCTCATGACATTATGCGGTATAGAGGAGGTATATGACTCTATGTAGGTATGTATATTCGGAAGTGAACAATTAATGGCTGAGAGTGATTATGTATAAATAATATGTTCTGAATTGTATGTGGATTATACTCATTTATTTCTAGCTTAGATAGGTATAGGTCTTGTTCGAGTTTGGTGCATGATAGTAGTAAATGCCACTTCTACCTATATCTATGCAATTTCATGAAGTCATTTGTTTTTTATCGTTAATTGTTGCTAATAAAGGATCGATTTTGAAATATTAAACACTATTTCCTGAAACTACTCCTCAAATTGACCATTGTAATTATTCTACCATACGCTAAAAATTTAATTAATAAGTTTTTAAGTTAATTAAAAATAGTTTGAATCAATTTAATTATTAATATTTATGATACTGCCATCTTGGTGTAATCTTACTTTTTTTTTAAATTTGTAGAAAATAAGAGAATGGCGTTTCTGCATAGAACTCATTACTTTTTATCCATTAAACAGGTATGCCTTTTTTAAAGGGTTTCTAGCAAAGTTTACTGACATTGCATTATCTACTATTTACTCAGAATTTCCGAAAATATTTATCCAGGCACTATTTCCTATCTATTACCTAAACCATGTTTAAAACTTGGCAAAATTTATTTAGACAATATATAATAAATTTTATAGATACTAATAAGAAATTGCAAATAGGTAAATTAGAAATAAATGATCAATTAAAATCTGGTAACTATATATTTATTTTATATATTGTTTTTAATGTTATCAAGTAGATAGACTCTGTTTTACCGACTAATACCAATATTTATATATATTTTTAAAAAATATTATAGACTTAAAAACATTTTACTTAATAAAGTTTAAATTATTATTAAGAAATGTTTACATTAAATACATGTATATTTTTCAATGTTTATATACATATAGTTACAGGTATTCACATAATTCAGAGATAGATATTTTCAGTCTCGTTAAATTCCCTATAGAATAATCAAGATCTTAGCTGAGGTCCTATACATAAAGCATAAAGCTTTACTTCACCTAATATTTTTATTGAAGACGTTCTTCTTAGAGTACCTAAAAATGAGATTATAAGTACTTTTATTAAAGTAGGGTTCACATGCCTTTAATTTTTTTAGGACAAACTTGGAATATTTGTTAAAAGGCAATCAATTATATGTAATCAAAAGGTTTAATGCCAAAGTGAAGATTTTTAAAATGTAGTATCTATATAAGATGACAAGAAAATTTGTTTTATTATTGAATACATTTATTTTGTATTTACTTTATTGTTATGAAAAATAAATTTAAAGTGCAGAAATATTGTTATAAAGTTTGGAAGTAAAAATACAGAAATCCGTATATCATGTTTAAACCTACCTATCATCAGAACTTTCAATTCACTCATTAGTCACAATACATGGTACTGATAACTCAACCTGGTGAAATAGAAAATTGCTTTTCCGACGGCATTTTACCGTCGGGCAAATAAGTTCCGTCGGTGGGCGGACTATGGTTGCACAACCTGTTATTAGCAATACTAGTTGCCACACTTGCACTCATTAACAAAGTTAAATGTATTGAACACTACATTACATAAAAAAATTAAACGTGAAGAACGTACGAAAGCTGTGCCGCGAGCGTATACGGGAAGGTTGCGTTGCCGCCGGGGCCGCCATATTGCGGCGCGCCCCGCCCGTCACCGCACCGCGCGCCCATTGGCCCCACCATCGCCAAGGCGGGGCCACCAGCGCCTAAATGTTGCCAGCTTTTTGAATAAATAATTTCAGTAATTTAAGTAATGAAGGCAATTATGGCGTTGTTTAGCTAAGTTTGCGCGGCGGCGAGTGGGAACTTTATATTTATACCGCTCTCTTTATGTACGCCGACGCGCGGTTAATGCGCCCGATCTGTTTACGTTGCGAACCGGGAGCGGCTTTTATTTATTGCGGGTGACTCTATTGCACGGTACGCGATTTAAACTGCAATTATTTTCTCTGCCATAAGGAAAACATATTGCATAATTTAAATGAGTTAGAATAATATAATATCCTAGAAGACTGTACTCTGTAGATACTGACTTGTATAAGTACTACGGTATCTATTATAAATTTATAGTATATAGATAGAGATAAAAAGTAAATGGAAATATTTTGCAATTACTTCTTTTATTGCATTATTTACATTCGATATTATGACAAAAACGTTATACGTTTAAATACATATATCCACTATCAATTAACATGCAATAATGAACTGAAATTTCTTCCAACAAAAAGAGGCGTGATCAATTTATGTCACGTCACGATAGTCCGTACAAGATCTACTGTCCACATTCAGCCGGCTGAAGTAAACAGTGACGTCACGAAGCGTCATCGAGCCGATAAAAAGTCGATTTTATTCGCACAAGTTCGGCCAGCTGACTGCGTCCCCCGCTCCGCTACCCGCGGCCGCACGCACTGAATTTTCACTGTGGCGAGATTTCAGTTAGAGTGAGAGAGACAGTTACTTACATAGTGTGTGTGAGAGAGACGAAGGTATGAAAACGCGCGTCGCGAGTTGGCGCGGTGGGCGGGCGGTCGCCGGATGATGTATAGAGTGGTGGAGTTAGGTTCAAATTGCTTCGGGAAGTGGCCGAGATTAGAGCCAGCGCGGGCCGCACCGCGCCGCGAGCGTAAGCCCACTTAAGACTGTTTTTAATACTAGTATTTTTTACGCGATCCCGACAGGATTTAGCGGATAAGCGACGTCGCCGCGATCGTGCGCTTTGATTTATCGGATTCGGATTTGGATTCGGTTTGTTTTCTGGTGTTTACGTTAGTGGGTGACGGCCGGCCGCGGGTGGACGTAACACCTAATCCCGTGGCTTGTACCAGATTATGACGGATATCATCGGATTTCGTGTACACACGCTGTGAAAAGCAACATTCTAAGGAATCAACGAACTTAAATCTCCCATAAACGATATCCAAAGTCGGCTGTAATAATTTGAATCAGTGAGTATTTTATACATCCAAAGATATTGTCCCGTTCCAGACCTAAAATGGGAAAGTACCTGTATATTAAGAGTAGTTACCATGTATTGGTGTTGCAAGGTAAAGTAACAAAATTATCTACAACAACAGTCTTTGTAAATAATGGAAGACATGTAAGTAGGTATAAAAAATACAATTGAATATTACTACCTCATTTTATCTACAAAAATAAATATATAAAAAAAAACAAATACAATGAAAAATAAAATAAATTCATAAATTTGTGTTATTAGATCTACTTATGAATAATTAATTTGGTAAATAAGCAACATATAAAATAAATAAACAGATTATTAGGTATAAAATTAAAACAAAAATTATATAGTGGTTGGTAGATAGAAAGTCTATTATATCATGTAACAATAGCGATTTTCCAATTACTAAACCACCTCTTCAGAAGGCTTTTGTAATTATTTTGTATATCTACTCGTATTATTATGTACAGGTCTTTAATTGACTGTACTTTGAATTTTAATTATAAATAACGAATTTGTGAAGCAAATAAATAATAATGTACTTGTGTAAAACAATGCACAGTGCGTAAGTTTTGTTCGGGTAAATGAGGTAATGTCCGAAGAAACATGGTCATAATGCGGGCCCTAGTACAGATTTGGAAACGTAATTTTTACGTAATAAAGAACGGTTATAGTTATCTGCTCATAAGCAACGAGTATTGAAATCTGATAATATAAAAAAATTGTTTCTTCTAAAACTTACCGAATTGAGGTAGGTAGGTTATTATCAGTAACTTAGATATATTAACAGACCTATTTTATGGATTATCTTTGTGTAGTTAACTTATTGGTGTCATAAACATTTCGAATAAGATAAGTAATTGGATAGTTGTAATAGAGTAGATAGTTGTAGTAGACTATAATAGAATTGGAGTAGGTTGTATGCTCGGGAAGTAAAATCGAAAAGCCTTTAAAAAAGAACAAAAATACAGTTGAAATTTGAACAAGCTAACCTTTTTTTGGAGTTGGATAAAAAAATAACTGATCTTGTCTTTAAAGCTATAACCTCATATAATTAATTATTAATATTAATTAAGTATATGGAAATCCTTTGTTAATATATTTCAGTGCATACTTATGTTATTTATATATACTATATTCGTAAAGTTTGCTCATCAAAAAATAAAATAATACATGCAATTATTTTCATATGTGTATTTTGTAGTTCAAAAAGAAATTAATATAAATCTTAACATTTCAAGAAGGCATAGGTTACTGTTTACTTGAATTATCTATTTTAAAATACTCTAACAATGTAGATGTTTGTATTGTAGTTTGTTTAGTATTTTTGTGACTGTTTTAAGAGGTTCAACTCTTATTGTTTTAGAATAATTTTATTTTGAATGACTTAGACTCAACAAACCCGACCCAATTAAACAAAAAAATATTTCAAAGTCATTCATCCTTTAAAAGGCGCTATTTTAGTTTTAATATATATATCTATAATGTTTTAATATTCGTTTCATCAGTACTCAAATAGTACTGTTTAAAAATTTTTTTATGCAACTTAGAATGGCAAACAAGCTGACGGCCCACCTGATGGAAAGTGGTAACCGTCGCCTATAAACATGAGCAGTACCATGGACATAACAGAGTATATACTGTTTCGTACTGTACTGATACCCCCCATGCGTTGCCATTCCTGAGGACTCAGGTGTTATTGCTCCGTACCCATAGTTAACAGTACATAGAAATAGCAACACGTGTAACGTTCTATGGGTACCATAAGTATCGCAGTATATTCAGAGACGTCCATGGTGCTAATTATATCTGTAGGCGACGGTTACTACTTTTTGTCAGTTGGGTTGGAAGCTTCTTTGCCATTCATAATATATATATATATATAGACATTATTCCCAGTTCCGTTTTCGAAATTCTTTTTATTGATCAATATAACAAAAAGCAACGCAAAATATTATCAATTTTAACAACAGCAATAATGTGTTTTTAAAATAAATAAGATAAAAGGAGAACCGTATCGATCAATAATTGTAGGAACCCTTAACACTTTCCTTACAAAAGTCTCAAACTTTCAACATTTTATGCAACAAATTCACTTTTTTTGAAGTAGGATAAAAGATTGATGGGCCGAGTGGACCCCAAATTATTATTCGCGAGGTGAAAGAGACGGTTCAGTATTATTTAATAGGATTTTCGGGGCCCAATAGCGATTTTTTTCCAATCACAAACATATTAAATTTTATCTTTGCTTTAATAAATTTTCAATATTATTTTAATGCTCATAAATTTATAGATATTATCATATAATTTATTAATTTAAAGTTTTATAGTATGCACAGTACAATCATCATCACAGATTACAATAATCAATCAGTATAAGTTAAGGCAAATGTTCCGCTGTAGCAAGATTCTTAATCACGACCCATTTGGCAAATACAATTATTCACAATCATATAGTCACGCTTAATAATCGATAAAGAATGGTCACCATGAAAAAGGTTTGATCAAGATGTCATCATCATCATATCAGCTTTTAACTGTTCACTGCTGAATATAAGCCTCCTCCTTGGAGGGTCTTGCCAGTAGTTGCAACGCTTGGCAGGCGGATTGGCAACCGCAGTCAAGGCCTTTAGTTTTAAGAGGGACATAGCTGCCCATCCCTCACCTTCCCTTAGTCGGTTCTTACGACACCCACGGGATAGGAAGGGGTGGCCTATTCTATGTCGGGACACAGTACAGTATAATGTTTTAATGTGGGGACACTGAATTTTTATTAATATTCTCTGGCTCTATCAAACTTATCTAACATAGTCCGTCCCTTGTTATCATTGATAAAATTATATATCTATAGCATGAAATGTATGTACAAACTACAACATATCTTTATGTTATATTGTTTTTAAATTATCTTTATGGCTAGTGTAGGTACCAATGATGATAATTAGCTGATATGAAAGTTAAGATGTTGTGTTATTAATAAAGAAAATTATATTAATTTGTATTAGACTCATCAAATGAAACTTAGATAACGGTAATAATTAATTAAGGAATCTTGAATAAAGTACGGTTCTGATTCTTTTGCATTCACTGACGCTTTAGGTATATATTTTTTACATATAATTAAAGATTGTGTCCTACGAAAAAACCGACTTCAATTGTGGCAAAACCAATTAGATATTTTATATATATATTTTTTATTTATAGAATGGCAAACAAGCTGACGGCCCACCTGATGGGAAGTGGTAACCGTCGCCTATAGACATGAGCAGTACCATGACATAACAGAGTATACTGTTTCGCCCATGATACCCCCCATGCGTTGCCACTCCTGAGGACTCAGGTGTTATTTCTCTGTACCCAGTAAATTCACACTATATCCCACCCTTCAAACCGAAACACAGCCATGCAAACACAACTACTTCACGGTTGAAACACGAATGGGACAGAGGCACTCAAGCAATCGACTTTTGTAGAAAGTCTCGCTTGACTATATTCAGTTAGACCATAGTTATAGATAAAGTCATAAATTTGAATAGAATAGTGTTATTGGAGATTCTAGAATTTATCTTAGTTCATAAACTATGTTAGATTGTAGGACGATTCATAGATTAAAATCGCCATCTTATCTTACATTAATTATATGCCTTGTCTGTCTTTGTGGTTAAATATTATATATTTTTTTAGCGTTTCCCCAAAGAACGTATGATTTTTTACCAATTTTTATATCATCATTCATTATAATTTTAGCCTATATCTATTGATTGTCGGATATAGGGCATCCTCAATGCCTTCCAACATGTGCCATTCTTTGCTTTTCGCACTGGGGGCCACATATTTTTGGTCTTTTTCATTGGGGAGTTTATATTCTTTTTTAATGGACGACAATGAAATGGTAACCCCGCCTACGCTAACAATATACGTTGGCGGGGCACCAGTGAAGAATGATAGATGATGATGAAAAATGTCAATTGGCCTATCGTGATCAATTCATCGAAAATTAACCACAATGGTATTCAGGGGGAACCGCGTGGAAGTCGACCATGAAGGTATGTTGTTAGTAATGGGACTGTTAGATTTCATTACTAACAATCCCTTTCCTCCCGGAAATTTATGCTCATAAAAAAAAGTATGTATCTACCTATGTAATCTATCTATTCTCAATTACTCGTAGATATATATATATATATATATATATATATATATATATATATATATATATATATATATATATATATATATATATATATATATATATATATATATATATTACTTTTTAATAGTAATACAGGTAAATTACAATTTATTCTACATTCAACCGTGCACTGAACTCGACCAAAAAGGATATTTACAAAAAAAAAAAAATATGGTCGCGCGTTACCTATCTGTAGTGTGATAATTTTATCAGTGTTAAATTGATAACGCGTAGATAAATGTCTGTATATGACGTTGTTTGTAACCCGAGTCCGAACCTCGACGCACCGCGTTAAAATACAAAACAATTCCCACAACACTAGGTGGATGTCGTTCACGGTACGTTACGTTTCCTAGCTACAACATGACATATCGGACTATCGACAATGCCATAAAATCGTGTTATCAGCAGATAGACACGATACAAATAGATCGTGTCAACATTTACCGATGTTGCCTGTCAAACGGTGTGTTTTACATGCATAGTTAACTCGATCTAGCACTTCATGTAATTTTGAAGTGTTGTTTTTAAAGGCGGCATGTTCAAAGATTTAATCGATAAGGTGTCGATTGCATCATAATTGTACAGATGTATTTAGTCTTTTGTTTACCACTTGAATATGAAGAATTTTTTATAACACTGAAGTGATTTTATCAGTTTCAATGATAGCACTGTTCATAGTAAAGTGATCTGAGTGTTTTCTAAATTTGATGTTAATGTCATCTATGTATAGTTAACATATAATCGAGCCTTAAAAACGGGTCAACTTTTTGTCATCAAATTTTTAAATTAGA